TAACTAATCTTTTGCGTCAGTTGATATAAAGACTCGTGGAGTTTTCAGTTCTGCAAACCAAATTCGACAATTCTTGCAGCTGTAAAACTGTAAATTTTGCACTCAATTCCGATAAACACTCTCCTTTAGATCTGATTATACGTGTGTATTTGAACCATAAGTAGCGGAAATTGGACTTGGATATTTTGCTTCAACATCACCCGTGATTTTGAATGTGAAGCCAATGTTCTACGCATTAACAAATTGGATATAAAATGCTCTGTGGTTGTTACACGTGCACTTCTAAGTATAAATAAATGGGTTACGTAAATACGGAAGGCGTCACATCTTTATGTGAAGGTCAGAAAGGGTTTCCAGTCTTCTCCTGCTGACTAAGGTCTACGGACAGCCTTGAAGTTGAGCGATATAATTGCTTATTAGGGGGAAAGCCCCATGAAAACTCCTAAACGAAGGAATTTAGGAGGCTAGTCTGGTGAAGCAAAATCCTTGAGCGCTGTCCACGGAATCTAAGTCAGTCTTCAGTACACCGCCCTCACTCTCCTTGGCGTCACAATGTAAATCACAGTGTGTGGGGTTGCTTTACTAGCGTTGGGATAAAAATAGCGGTGCCTTATTCGCAAACGGTCTATCAAAAGCAAAAAGTATCTGCCGGTGCAGTTTTGACCAGCCAATGAATTTCAGAGGACACGATGTCAAACTTAACCCAGAATTCACACCCTTAGCTTCAAAAAACCTAACCAGCTTCAAAAACTACCTTTTCCTACACTAAAAAAATCACCTAGCCTGAAAAGACTCTTCAAAAATTAGCTATATCAAACACAAACATCCGGAGCAAGATTAAGAATTAAAAGATATAACCAAAAAGTTTTCTTGCCTCATACAGGATCGCTACATTTATCCCTGCTTTTTAGGACAAACACAAATATATCACCAGAAGCACCTCAAGTCCATCGTACCCCTGACAATCATCTGCTCTTCTTGCGCTTAAACTCCTCAACAGCCTTCTTATCAGCCCAAAATTAACCAGTTTACTTACTGTATAACAATCCATCATGTAATCAATGGATAATACGGTCCAAACCCACTAGAAACCACTTTGGAGGAGGAAGCACTTCATTACTTTAGAATGTAGCGGACTAAGACCTTATCAGCGTGTTCGGATAAATTAACAAGCACAGTAACTAATACAAAATCACAAAATCACAATAGGAAAGGAATGAGTAGTCAAATGAGGACTAATGAATGTGTAGATTCAATAGTTCACTACACCGATCCAAATGCAGTAACTGGCTGTGAAAGGAAATATTCACTAGTTGGATTTTCCCCGATGGTTCAGCTTGCGTGATATATTCCACGTCAGGAAAATTATTCACGGCTGAAAATGTCACAGGAATTTATTGTGACGTTCAACAGTCGACGTAAACACAGAGATCAGGTCTTACTGGTTCNCTGGTTCAGCAGTCAACAAACAGTTCAACGGAGCGTAAATACACTCGCTGAGCAAGAAGTCAGCAAGTCGCACCGGAAAATTGTGTATTCGTAACATAAAAACAAACGTCATGATGCAATGTGAACGACAGTTACAAGGTGTGGTTTAAGTTCAGGAAGAATGGTAAATGTGACAACGGATTACAGACACTACAAGACTAACCGTGTCAGTTACTTGAATAAGATAGTTTGACTGAGACTGCTGTCCGCTTTTTACCATAAATTTATTCCCATCAGTAATTTAAACACTCCTATTATGACGAAAGACTAGTTGTTTCATATGAACATAACCTTCCAGCAATGAATCTTACCTTAAAATATCTGTAGGCGTAGATGACTTTGCATTGTCCGCATCAACTTCATCCCAGCATTGGTCGTGGTTTTCTGCTTATCCAGAGCCAAATGCCTGTAAACTCGAGCCCACTTAGAGAACCCTTTAGCAGGCATGTCCCTTCATACGGTTTCTTTGAACGTCTTTCAGATTTCAAGTGTTTTCAAACTGTCATCTTTGGATGGTTTGGCACAATATTCATAAAAAGAATCTACACCCTAGTCAAGTTTCTGGCTATGCTTAAGTACTCCTAATCAATACATTCTCATTTTATTGTTTTTAATACACCCTATGAAAAGCTGCTTTTGATTCATTCTTAACGAAGCTTTTGCACGTAACTTTAAAATGATCAATCCACCATCACATGCTACTGATCCTCCCTCTCAACCCGTTAAGTCGAAACACACCGGTGAGGGTTATTACAGCATTGACTGTTCACGATTAGTCAATCTCTCTCTTGGTATCTAATGACATTAAAATATTATGTATAACTCGGAAGTATGCACCCTCCTTGTGCTTGGTTTTACAAAACACCTAAACATTCAGCGCAATCCTGCATGATCCTCAACCCAGAGGGTGCTAACCGAGTTTTCTGCCCAAGAATAATGTATAAAATTGACTGACAGATTGATCTTATCTTGAAAAGCCGGAGATATTTTTGGGCTGTTTGGGTACTCTTTAAATCTCTTCTTGAGAAATTTCGTCTTTTATTCGCCTCCATAGACGTATGGCAGCATGCATGTTGATTATATTTAGTAAGATCAGAGTTGATCTATCTCGGAAAATCCGTTGAACTGCTAATATTTTGTATATTTAAGAACATTTCTGCTGCTTTACATAAAATCTTAGTGAAACCGTTTATTGTCTTTTGTGGCCAACAATGTTTTCTTCAAATTTTTTGCTTTATTTTAGCGATGAAAATCTTCGGGAGTACAATAAATTGGGGAAGGTTGGTGCAAAAAATCCTCCTGTGTTAAAACAAGTTGCTCATGGCCGTGACAGATACTGGTGAGCTTCTACCCTAAAGCTCGTTCTCGGGTTTGCTCAATGCAAACTACTGGGAATGTTTTCGCCTGTAGACTTTTGATGCAGAAGGAGAAGAAGCAAACACCTGAGTTGAAGTCAGAAGGAGTCGAAACCACAGTTGTAACTAGTTTTCATAGGCAAGGTCTTTATGTGTATGAGATAGCCAACAACACTGTTTTTGGTGTCATTATCGGACGATGCACAAAACAAAAAACCACGATTACGTGCTTGTTGACTTTGTCCTTCTGACCTTTGAACTTTTTTATGAACGTTGCACAAAGACAGAGTTTGTTTTCCTACTCACTGAAAATCCATTTTCTAAGGTATTACCTTTCAAACTATGGAGTAAGAGTTTATTGAGGATCAGAATCAAACCAGATTTTAATGTGAACTAAAATGGATCCTTCGAAATGACTGTTTTTTTCAAAACGGATTAAAAGTTTTTCATGATATGAAGCAGAGCTGGAAGTGTACAGCTCTGAATGATTTCTCGGCTTTTTGACACAGACTGGCTTTACGAAAACAACAATAACCAGCCTGAAAATTTATAAATCTTCCCATACCATCAACAATGTCTAAATAACTCACGGAATGGAAGAACTCACAAGTCTTGCAAACCTTTCACCCGAGAAGGTATCGCTCGGGCAGAAAGTGAGTTTGTGAACACTTGGTGGATTAATGGACGTGTGAATTCATACGCTGTCTAAGTACAATCTGGTCAAGGAGCTGGTCGACGGCTGGAGCCATCACCTACTGAATTCTCCCCAAAGTCTATATGCTTAGTTAGTACGAGTAGAAAACGGTCGAAACTTTTGTTTTGCTTGAAGACGCTGAATTTCTATTTGGCTGTGGAATCTACAGAGCTTTGTTGCAATAAGACGAGATAGCTCTATGAAAAAATTCCCTCAAAGGCGGTGTTCCAATATCAGGTGGTTCTGATCAGTTTGTAGGCGCATGTGTTTCTTAAGTACACGACAATGATTGGGCGACTAGTATTTTGCTTCAAGCGTTACGTTATCTAACCAAGAGCTGGTATTTCTCCGAAGAATATGATAGGCTACGGATACTTTTGTTCCTCCATGGGGGTACTTTTGCTTCGGGAGGACAAGCGGAGTTAAATATGGCCACCGAAAGACGCTTTACTAGCCAGTATGTGTTGGATTAACCTGTGTTGGAGAGTTAGTTCTTGTGCGGTACCCACAGATTCAGTATTCAAATCAAAACTTGGTGCGAGGTCAAAGATAAGCTAAACAGGCGTTTTGGGTATATTGTGAGGCGGTTATGGGTTTGTTTATGGCTAGATGACTATTTTAAGTGGACATATCTTTGTGTACTCACAAAGCTTAATGTTTTACCTCCACAGACAATACTGTTCTGAAGGTAAGGAGTAGGTTATAACTACGCAAGTATCAATGACTAGGCGACAGCCAAATGCCTTGTTTTTCATTTGATCATGCCGCGTTTCGGGTATGGACAAAACGTGTGAGTGTGGATGTCGGCTTTAGGAGTGCCGTTGCACATGCACACAGCTCTTTGGAGGAGGAAGTAGTTTGTTCTTCCAAGATAAGCATAACTTCAAGTGACACTTACCTTATCTGCGACCTGAGTGACAGAACCACAAGTCCTTTTGATGATCTGGTTCGATTTGTTTTGTGTTGCGCACAAAGATAGCTGCAACCCAGAGTGGCTGTTCATTTTGATGTTTTGTTGCTAATATCACTCAATGATGACAGTGTGAAAACGTCCCTCTTTCGAAAAAGCATAAAAAGAATGATTTTATGTTTAATATAATTTGGATAAGGGTTATTCGCTTTAGGTTGCCTTATCCTAGAAGCTTCGTTCCTATAATTTCCCTGGTTCTGGAATTCTACGAGGTTGCAGGTGTTTAATTTTTTGTGACCCATTGTTTTAACCAAGCTGCATTTACAAATAGAAAAACACCCATCCATCCTGAAAGTGTCCTTGATACGTTGCCCCTTTTCAATATGCGCACAGGGTTTTGTTTTCTGGCGATAGAACTTACGATTTCTGTCGATAAGCAAAGGTACCCGAGGGTATAACGCACCATGATTTTTCTCTTCTTGTCATTATCATCTGTTGAGTTGGCAGGCTCAAAGTAACAAGAATAATTTCTAAATCTTCAACTCTCTTAGATATTTTTATTAACTTACGAGAATCCCGGGATAACCTGCGATCTGAAGTCAGACCTAGAACAGCGTGTTCGACTGCCAGACCAGCGAGGCCTAAACAAATCGCGGTAAAAGTGAATGTACCACCACGTGCACGACTGCGGCTAGATGAAGCATTTGAAAACGCTGCTCGGAGCCGGGAAACACACATATTCTCTACGGCATCCATCAGTGAACCAGTTCTTCGGTGGCAACGAAAACCGGTGGCCGAAAATGAACGGAACCGTCCAAGTCACACTGCGTGGTGGCAGAGTAAGTGTGGTGCACTGTTTCATCGTCCTTTTAGCTACTTGATTTACTAGCCGTGAGACATTTTAAAAATAACAGAACTCACTGGATATTCCCCTGCGTAAATTGATCGGGTTTGTCAGATAGATCACCATCAGTACCAGTCAATTATATTTTTGTAAGTGGAGTCCGATAGGTGCGTTACAATGAACCATTCGAATGGTTAATCATCTCGCGAAGGGGGGAGGTTGCAATGCATAGGGAATTACCTACAGTTCATGTGTGTCACAGTTAAAGGCTTACATAAGTTTGACAATTCATATGCAATGAGAATGCATTGAAAACTAAAGCCACAGGTACTTCATCTACGGGTGCATCCAGTACTGCAGACTACGATGGTATGATCAGGTGCGACGCATTCCTAGTTTTTCTATGCCGACGACATGGTTTTCAATCGCGCCTGAACGAGAGTGGAGCAAGTCCACAAGTGAGACAAACATATCCGGAAACGGGAAGTTGTAACAAAACGTCTGGATTTTGTTTAGTTGTCAGCCTTTCCTGGTGAGACATTTTAAATTATGAGAGGTGATAGTTGGTGTTCATGTTATCAAAGTCCGTCTAGCTGGGTATTGGAGGCACAGGCACTTTGTGGTTTGCCACAACTGAGCTCTGTCTACCCACTCCATCTTTCTTCTCTTCATTATGGGTCTTGGGTGAAGTAATTCGCCACGACGGTACGATCGCAAAGTGACTGTGATCTTCACTGATCTCGTTGCCCATATCACTACTGCATACTGAGAGTCACAGTGGATTGAGTGACCCCATTTCCTTTAACGATAAAGAGCCACTTATCACATCCATCGCAGTCGACTGCTTCGCGGACGGAATCTTGTCACATATGGAGTAGGCCTGCCGTCTCCACTCCATGGTTGCGCTGTAGATATCAACTTGAAATACTTCAGCCGTTAACCTACTTCTCGTTTATTGCGCCCGTCTTCGTCTCATCTCCTTCTCATCTTTGCGCACATGAAAGCTGCTCTATATCATTTCTCAAAGGTAATCGGAAAAAGAAAGCTGAAGGGTGAATGTCGCATTATCAGTGACAAAGCAGAAAAAGAGGTAAAATACACTTGTTTTACGGCATGCCTGATCTACACCCAAATCTCTCGTTTATGCTATTCTTTAAGTAAATGTATTGTGCAGGGGCCACCTCATGTTGGTGATCTCCACGAAGGGTGAAACCGATCGTAACCTATCGAAGCGCGTTTGGCAATCTAGTGAGTAGTGTGTAAAATCAAGAGAGCAGCAATGCTGTTTTGGAAGGCACAACAATGATGCAGCTAAATGCTTTGTCCGCGACGTTAGACAAGGTAACAACAAACGTGTGTAGGTTTGCCATTTCCAAAAACGTGAAGCGTCATTTTCAGTCTCACCTGGATTGTTCAACAAGTACAGCGGGGGAAAATGAGGCAGACACTTGATTTACCTAATAAGTAGCTAGTTATTCAACGGATGGATGAGAAGTACTTTCTAACAAACGATATCAGTAGCGAGCCTGTGCTAGGAATTGCACGAAAATTCTGCTGCATAAATTCACCGGTTTGACAATATCAGCCTTCTAACAAGTGCTTTGGCGCCGAGGAGAAAATATTCCGGTGGAACATAGTGGTACTTGATCGAACCCACTGATGCTTCGAGTAGCTCTCAACTCCCCGTATTCATCGATCGATATGACTCAGGAGTAACAGATATCCGATTGTGACATGCTTATAGCAATAGTACTTCAGATCCCGTGCCTCCTAGGATGTACTTGGAAGCTTGACACCCAAAATATGTCAGCTTAGAGATGACTTTCAACGCTACTCTTGGTGACCAGTACTCGCAAAAGGCAACCAAAGACCCAGAGGAATCCGCGTCAGGATAAAACTACCATTAGATCTGATGTCATTGTGGCGGTGAATAAGAGAAACACACTTCTGATGTGGGAAAAGTTTGCTAGAACAAGATGAAGGCCATTCATTGGTCACGGCTTTTATACTTGCTGTATCGCACACCAAGCGGAAAAGTATAGATTCGTTTCCCATGCTGAAGCCACTCATTTCGACCGTGTCCAGTTGTGCCCCAGATGCTTCAGTTTATACCTCCCACGAGGAACCCTATTCTAATTTCGGTGGAACACCCTGCCACAATTCTGTTCGGTGACTCACATCCTCTGGATTTTTATCCCCAGTCTACCGAATCCCTGTTGAAAGTGAAGTGGGTACCATGCATCCTGCATCGCTAACCTAGCATTGTTGTTAAATTCGTCGGCCCAATCAGACTACCTACATTTGCGGTTCCACGAAACTGCACAATCTGCCTTCCTACTGGCTCAAAACCATCTTCAATAAACTGCCGCATTTTAAAGTTGGATAGCTGGCTGACGTGGAATGTCAGGTTCAGCATAACTACTTTTCTATGCAATTCCAATCGCCTCAATGACTTAAAAAAGCGAAAAGAAGGTTGTTTCCTTCATTCTCACTCATATTTGGAAAAAAACGTGGACAGTACAGCGCCCACACACTGTAAGTGCACAAGATTTCGTTGGTGAGCCAATGTCGAAAAGAATTAGTACCATCTGGTAAAAGTGCTCAACACTAACTCGGAAAGTGCTATTCATCCGAGTAGCTCTACTATTTACTTAAGGCGGAGAGCATGGGGGTGTTGAGGAGATTTAGTTTTGTTGCTTGTCCCATGTCATCTTCACAGGTGTATATTTATCATCCCTGTCAATTTTATGTGCTTCAACCTACTTCTTAATGGGAACCGTTCTTCCTCGAGCTGTTCAGATCAGTGTGTAGATGTGTTAGTAGAGAAGTAACTGATAGTTTTATTCTGGAAGATAGCGTACTACTCATAAAGTTGCTGAAAAATTCTTTGACAGCCCAATAACGATTATGCTACCCTTCTGATTCATCAGGACGTCCCCGAGTTTTTGTCGGCCTTATGTTCCGCTTAAACCAAACAAAATTCACTTTGTGCCAGCCGAACCCCTAGTTTATATTAACGAGTAAATTATTGTGAGAAACGATGAAAGCAATCGTATTATTCCAGATGGGACCGTTTACTTCCTCCACATTTGGACTCTTTATTATTTCGAATGTTGTAGGTCATATTGAGTAGACAAAGCTATTCCTTATGGTCATGAAATCTTGGAACAACCATTACTGAGGCGAACGAAAACCAGTCAGCTCGTAACTACTTCCATGGGCTATTTCGCTCTTGTTATTTCAGTCAAAATGAAATTAACCCCGAACAGAGTGCTCCAGGTGAACTGAGCAGATACCTATCAGCATAATTTCAGTTGGAACAAACGCCACAGCAGCAGTATTACGGACAACAACAGGGTTGTCAGAAAAGTGAAGCCTACTCATAGTAACACCCCGTCCCACAACCAGTGAAGGAGCAAAAAGGAACCAAAAAGATTCCTAGTGCCAGCTAATTTGAGACACCTATGGCGTCAGAATGGCCCATCCCTGAATCTCAAAGACCGCGTGCATCAAGCTACAGTATGGGCTGTTGTGTTATATGGCTGTGAGACTTGGCCTATTCGAGCAGCGGAACTGAGACGTCTTCATGTGTTCGACAAACGTTTTCTCAGAACCACAGTTCTTGTGGGTTGGTGTCGGCGAATCCGTAATGAGGTAGTTAGAAAGCGCGCTTTCGGTTGTGTAACGGGTACTTCCATTGAGGAATGTGTCCAACACCAGAAGCTGCGTTGGT